GATTCTGGTATCTTGTATCTTTGTTCTCATTAGTTTCAAAGAGCGTCTTTATTTCTGCCTTCATTTCGTTATGTACCCAGTAGTCATTCAGGAACAGGTTGTTCAGTTCCCATGTAGTTGAGCAGTTTTGATTGAGTTTCTTAATCCTGAGTTCTAGTTTGATTGCACTGTGGTCTGAGAGACAGTTTGTTATAAATTCTGTTCTTTTACATTTGCTGAGGAGTGCTTTACTTCCAACTATGTGGTCAATTTTGGACTAAGTGTGACGTGGTGCTGAGAAGAATGTATATTCTGTTGATTTGGGGTGGAGAGTTCTGTACATGTCTATTAGGTGCTGCTGGTGCAGAGCTGGAGTTCAATTCCTGGATATCCTTGTTGACTTTCTGTCTCGTTGATCTGTCTAATGTTGACAGTGGGGGCGTTAAAGTCTCCCATTATTATTGTTTGGGAGTCTAAGTCTCTTTGTAGGTCTCCAAGGACTTGCTTTATGAATCTGGGTTGCTCCCATAATTGGGTGCATATATATTTAAGATAGTTAGCTCTTCTTGTTTAATTGATCCCTTTACCATTATATAATGGCTTTCTTTGCTCTCTTTGTGATCTTTGTTGGCTTAAAGTCTGTTTTATCAGAGACTAGAATTGCAACCCCTGATTTTTTTTTTTGCTTTCCATTTGGCTTGATAGATCTTCCTCCATCCCTTTATTTTGAGCGCCTATGTGTGTCTCTGCATGTGAGATGGATCTCCCTGAATACAGCAAACTGATGGGTCTTGACCTTTATCCAATTTGCCAGTCTTCTGTCTTTTAATTGGAGCATTTAGCCCATTTACATTTAAGGTTAATATTGTTATGTGGTGAATTTTGATCTTATGATGACGGTTATTTTGCTTATTAGTTGATGCAGTTTCTTCCTAGCAATGATGCCTTTACAATTTGGTATGTTTTTGCAGTAGCTGGTACCGGTTGTTCCTTTCCATGTTTAGTGCTTCCTTCAGGAGCTCTTGTAAGGCAGGCCTGGTGGTGACAAAATCTCTCAGCATTTGCTTATCTGTAAGGGATTTTATTTCACCTTCACTTTATGAGCTTGGCTGGTATATGTCTGGGTTGAAAATTCTTTTCTTTGAATGTTGAATATTGGACCCCCCTCTTTCTGGCTTGTAGAGTTTCTGCCGAGAGAGTCCATTGTGAGTCTGATGGGCTTCCCTTTGTGAGTAACTTGACCTTTCTCTCTGGCTACCCTTAACATTTTTTCCTTCATTCAACTTTGGTGAATTGACAATTATGTGTCTTGGAGTTGCTCTTCTTGAGGAGTATCTTTGTGGCATTCTCTGTATTTCCTGAATTTGAATGTTGGCCTGCTTGCTAGGTTGGGGAGTTCTCCTGGATAATATCCTGCAGAGTGTTTTCCAACTTGGTTCCATTCTCCCCTGTCACTTTCAGGTACACCCATCTGATGTAGATTGGTCCGTGGGCGTGGGATCCTCTGAGCCAGGCACGGGATGTAATCTCCTGGTATGCCGTTTGCCAAGTTGGAAAAGTGCAGTATTAGGGTGGGAGTGACCCAATTCTCAGGTGTTCTGTTGGTTTTGGCTAGGAAAGGGCATTCCCCAACCCTTTGCGCTTCCCAGGTGAGGTGATGCCTGGTACCTCAGTTAGAAATGCAGAAATCACCAGTCTTCTGTGTTGCTCATGCTGGGAGCTGTAGACTGGAGCTGTTCTTATTTGGCCATCTTGGAACCTCCCCTCAACCACAAAGATTTTCTCATAGAAATTTCCTAGTTCTAGGTTTTACATTTAGGTCTATAATCTATCTGGAATTACTTTTTGAAAGTGTGGGAATTATGAGTCAAGGATCTTTTTAAAAGACATATGCATATTTACATACACTGAAAAATTAGACTGTTGTACGTATGTATGTATGTATATAAAATTGCCCGATTGTTCAGCACCAACTATTGAAAAGACTATTCTTTTCTCATTGAATTGCCTTTGGACATTTGTGAAAGTTGAATTGACCATATATTTGTAGATCTTTCTAGATTCTCTATTCTGGGCCATTGATCTATGCTTCTTTCCATTTACCTATATAAAACTCTTGATTGCTACAATTTACGGTAAGTCTTGAAATCATTACTGTGATTCTTTCAGCGTTTCTTTTTCAGAATTGTTTTAGCTATTCTAGTTCCTTCCCCCTTCCACATAGTTAAAAACTAGTTTCTTGATTTCACAGAAAATATTTCTGATATTTTGATTGGGATTACATTGAAACTCTAGACCAATATGGAGAAATCCGAACATCTTAACATGACTCTTCCAATCCATTAACACAGTATATTTCTCTATTTAGGTCTTCCCTGATTTATTTCAAAAGTGTTTTGTAGTTTTCAGCAGATAGCTGTTGCACATATTCAGTTAGATTTATATCTATGCATATCATGTTTTCATGCTACTGTAAATGTTATTAGCAACTCCAATAGTATATAGAAATACAATTAATTTTTGTCTGTTGACTTTGTATCCTACACCTTTACTCAACTTGTTAATTGTAGAAGCTATTTTGAAGATTCTATGGATTCTCTTATTTTTTATTTTTATTGATGGAGAATATAATCTCTTTTTATTATATTTACTGATATAACATATTTCTTTTTTGATATTAATTTATTTTTTAAAGACTGAGGTATGATTGATGAAAAATTTGTATATTTTATATACTTAAGGTGGAAAACATGTTTTTGTTTTTTCATAAACACAACAATTCAAGGAATACACCATGGTGTTTTCATATAAATATACCTTTATAATGATTCTCACAATGGAGCTAATTAACATATTTTTCACCTGACATAATTATCATTTTTCTTGTGTTTGGATTGAGAACACTTGAGATCTATTACCTTAGCAATTTTCAAATATGCAATACGTTATTATTAACTATAGATACCATATTGTACATTAGATCTCTAGAACTTATTGATCTTATAACTGATAGTTTGTACCCTTTGATCTGTATCTGCCTATTTTCTCTATTCCCCATCCACTGGCAACCATCTTTCTGCTCTCTGTTTCTCTAAGTTTGACTATTTTAGATTCAACATGTAAGTGATATCAAGCAATATTTGTCTTTCTGTGTCTGGTCTATGTTACTTAGCATAATAGTTTCCAAGTTAATTCATGTTGTTGCAAATGTCAGGCTTTCCTTCTTTTTAAAGTCTGAATAGTATTCCATTGTGCATACATATATAGTACATAGTTATCATATATATGATAAATTGTGTGTGTGTATATATATAGATATATACACACACACACACACAATGGAATACTATTCAGCCTTTAAAAGGCTGAATATAGACAAATATTTTATATATATCACATGTTCTTTATCCATTCATTCATTGATGGAAGCTTAGATCAGTCCCATATCTTGACTATTGTGAATAATACTGAAGTGAACATGGAAGTGCAGATATATCTTCAAGACAATGATTTCATGCCCAGAAGTGGGACTGTTGGATCATATGGTAGTTCTGTTTTTAATTTTTTGAGGAACCACCACACTATTGTCCATAATGGCTGTATTAATTCACATTCTCACCAACAGTGTACAAGGGTCCCTTATTCTCCACATCCTCAATAACACTTGTTATCTACTTACTTTTTGATAACAGTCAAACTAACAGCTGTGAGGTGGTATCTCATTGTGATGGTTAGTGCTGTTGACCACCTTTTCACATACCTGTTGGCCATTTGTATGTCCTCTTTGGGAAAATGTATATTCCAATCTTTTGCCCATTTTTAAATCAGGGTTTTTTTTTTTTTTGCTATTGAGTTATGTGAATTCCTGATATATTTTACATATCAACCACCTATTAGATATACAATTTACAAACATTTTCTCCTATTCTGCAGGCTGCCTTCTCATTTCCTTCCCTTTGCTTTGCAGAAGCTTTTAATGTTGGCAATAATGTTATGTTGGCTAGAACTAGACTCAGATACTGTACAATTTCAATTTTGGGGAAGAGCCAGTGTGGGGAGTAGTTGTAGGCTAATATTACTGGTGATAACTAAAAGTTAACTTAATATAGAACAGGTCATTTTGATGACTGATGCTAGTTCTATCAAATTTTAAGTGGTAGTGGTGGCATTTGTGGTTGCAGGTTTGGATGTATTGACAAAAAAAGTCAAATGCTGTAAAATATTTTAAGAGATTTATTCTGAGCCAAATATGAGTGACCATGGCCTCAGGACACAGCCCTCAGGAGGTCCTGAGAACATGTATCCAAGGTGGTTGGGGTACAGTTTGGTTTTATATATTTTTAGGGAGGCACGAGACATCAATCAAATACATTTAAGAAATACATTGGCTTGGTTCAGAAAGGCAGGACAACTCAAAGTGGGGGCTTCCAGGCTAGAGGTAAATTTAAACATGTTCTGGTTGATAATTGGTCTAGTTTATCTGAAGACCTGAGATCGATGGAAAGGAATGTTCAGGTTAAGATAAAGGATTGTGGAGATCAAGTTTTATTGTTCAGAGGAATCTCTCAGAAAGCAGACTTCAGAGAGAGAGCAGGTTGTAAAATGTTTCTTATCAGACCTAAAAGGGTGCCTGGCTCTTAGTTGATTATCTCTTGGATCTGGAAAGAAAGGAAGGAAAACAAAGGGGGAAGGATGTTCTCTATAGAATGTGGAGTTCCTCCACAAGAGACTTTGCAGGACAATTCCAAGGTATAGCAAGGAAATATACTTTGGGGTAAAACATTTTGATTTTTTTGCCCTTGTTATGCCAGAGTCAGATTAGAAAGTAAGTCACAATATATGGGGTTAAATAAAACCCATCTGATGAGAATGTATGGTTTGTAGGGCATGACTCCCCAGACCCCCTAGAAAGGAATTTGGGCAAGATAAAAAATCAGAGCTTAGTCCTCAGATGAATAGGTGGAGATTATACATTATTGGAAAAGAGTGATGAGCATTGTTACTGTAGGCTAAGTAGAAGTTACAGTAGTTATAGGTTAAGTGGAAGTAGTTGCAGATTCAGTTGAAGGGAATGTAGTTGTTGATTCAGTCAGAGATGGTAGAAGTGCTGATTGTTTGAGTTGTCAAGTAAGTTTAAGTTGAAGTAGGACTTGATATTGTTGAAGTTGTAACAGTTAGAGTCTGTTAAAGTGACTGCAGCCATGGTTCCACTTGAAGTGATAGGAGTAGCTGTTATAGTTGCAAACTGAGTTGAAGTGGTAGAGGCTGAAGTTTCAGTTGAAGTGATGACTGTGGCTGTTCAATTTATAATTGATTGGCAGCTGCAGCAGATGTAGGTTCTGTGGAAGTGGTGGCAGTTGTAGCTGTTGAAGTTGTAGTTTCAGTGGCTGTACTTGCAGGTACAGTTGAAGTGGTGGTCATTGTAGGTGGACAAGCAGGAGAGGGTGTTCCAGGTTTGACAGTCACACACTCTCCATTGTTTGTGGATAGTTGGATAACAATGGAGGAATTGGCAGATCCTTTGTTATTCACCAAGCATACTATAAGTACTCCAATTGCTGTCATTATCACACAGGCTAAGAGACAAGCCAGGAAGACTTTCCACATAGACCAGTCATTGCGGCAATGCTCTTTTACCTAAGCATGTATATAAAAATATCAGCAATGAGAAACAAAACTGCTTGTAATTTATCATCTCTTTTAAATTACTTATAACTTATTGCGTTAACATCATTTGAGTCACTATGTGTCTCTGAAAGTTGGGCTTGAAGTCCATGTTTTCATGCAGGTAGAAATAATTGTCCCTTACATTAGAAGAAAGACAAATCTGCAAAGTCTCATCTTCTCTTATCCTATTTTCCATTTGTCTTTTTAACAGACTTTATTTTTAGAGCAGTTTTAGGTTGACAGCAAAACTAAGCAGGAAATACAGAGATTTCCCATATCTCTCCTGCCGTCACACATGTTCAGCCTCACCAATTGTCCACTTCTCCAATCGGAGTAGAACATTTGTTACAATTAATGAACCTACAATGATATACCATTATCAGATTACTTTAGGGTTCACTGTTGGTGGTGTACACTGTATGGGTTTGGACAACTATATAATGATATGTATTTACCATTATAGTATCATGCAGAGTAGTCTCACTGCCCTAAAAAATCCTCTGTGTTCCTCTTATTCTTCCCTCTCTCACTCCTACCTTTTTTTTTAATGTGAGCACTATATCTTATATTGTTGTTGAGAATATTAAAAATAACATACATAAAGTTACCACTTTTCAAAAATATTATATTTGGTTTTGATGCAGTATAATATAGAATTTAGAAACAAGGGCTTTGGAGTCCAACTAGATTATTTCATAATTACCTGGATGAAAGCAAGATCTTCAAAGAATAGAATACAAAACTTGTACCTTTCAGACAGAATACAGTAGGTCTGAAATATTACAAAACATGGGCCACGGTATTTGTTGGAAGACTAGAGTTTCATGAAAAGCCTGATGACACCAAGACAGCAGCAAAAGAATGAGGGCAATGGTCACCAAGGCCAGGGAAATGAGGGCCACTAAGACCAAGTTAACCCTAGGACAAATAACATCCTCTTTCCTTGATGGGAGGCACTGAAAACGAGGTTCAAGAAAAGAAAGTGGCAAAAAGGCTTATGTACATCTGGGAGAGGATTCTATAATACTGCATTACACAAACTTAAAAAGAGCCCTTTAGTGACATTAAACGCGCATGATCAGACAGAAGGAAACTATGTTCTCCTCCTGCTTTGGCCCCTTCTGGCAAAAACCGTGTGAGTTCTAGCAACTTTCTAAACTTTCCTGAGCCATATTTTCCCTAATTGTTAAATAATTTCACGGGACTAGATCAGCCATTCTCATCACTAGTTGTACATTAGATTCATCTGGGTAGCTTTTAAAAACTATTGTTGCATGGGCCCCACCCCCAAGAGTTTCTGATTTAATTGGTCTGGGGTGGGGCTTAGGCATTTGGTTTGTCCTAAACAGTCCCCAGGTGATTCTAATATGCAGTCAAGTTTAAGAACCAGCAGAGGCTGGGCATGGAGGTTCACGCTTGTAATCCTACCATTGGGGGAGGCTAAGGTGGGTGGATCCTTTGAGCCCAGGAGGTTGAGACCAGCCTGGGCTACATGGCAAGACCTCATCTCTACAAAAAATACAAAAAATAGTCAGGCATGGTGGCATATGCATGTGGTCCTAGCTACTTGGCAGGCTGAGATGGGAGGATTGTTTAAGCCCAGAAGGGTGAAGCTGCAGTGAGACGTGATTGTGCCATTGCGCTCCAGCCTAGGTTACAGAGTGAGACTCTGCCTCAAAAAACAAAAAATAAAAAATAAAAATAAAAAAAAGAGCCAGCAGACTTGATGTTATTGAAGGCCTCCTTCAATTCCATGATTGATATGGATTACTTTACCTCTGCAAACAAGAAGAAACATTTTCTAACTCCATCCTACTGAGCTTATTTATTATTTCACATTGTCCCAGAAACAGTATAAAGTTCATGTTGTTTTGTCCAGAATCAAGAAACAAGGCTCAGAGGCTCTCTACTAAGTCTCTATAACAAGACTAAGCAGGGAAAGGAAGGAATGCCAGAGTTTGTGGAACCAAACCAAACTACGAAGCATATTGGTAATTTATAGTCAATGTTAAATTTCTATACAACGGCTGAAGACTTAAAGATACAGTCACGAGGTAAAGTTCATTCAGCCTACAGGACATGAGGTCAGGAACCAAGGAGAGCCAAGTCTGGTCTCCAACGCTAGTGGAGACACTCCAGAGAACAGTAAGGTTTCTGTGTCAAGGTCATATACACCAGAGGACAGAACCCAGGGAGTTAAAGAAAGTGGCACACACAGGTTCAGAGGCTGCACAGAGTAAGAAAATAAGGTGATCACCAAAGTAATAGGACCTGGGAAACTTTAAATATGACAGTCTCCCATCAGAGCCTAATGGTGAATTAAACCCTAATATTGCCAACATTCTTATTCACCCGCCCCTCCCTAACCTTGCATTTGCACCTTACACTTATTCCTTTGATTTTCATGTATGTTTCGTATCTATTATGGATATTTGAGTCCCCAGTTAGAACATTAGCTCTTGGAAAACAGAGACTAGCAAATATTTATTTTCTTGTGAATTACCTCACAGTGACTTGTACCTATACTGAGAATACAGCAGATGCTTAATACAAATGTAAATGAATTAAGTAATTAAATACATTTCTTGGGAAATAATAGGCAAAGTACATGCCCTTATAGAGCACATCCCAACCTGAATAAAAGCTCCTGTGCTAAACATTACCTGTGTGTTACCGGATTCTGATTGTAGACATTTTGAATGTGCAAGGACCCCTGGGCTCATGCAGACCCCAGTTAAGTTGGGAGAGACATCACTGGTTATATCATTTGAAGGTGGACACCAGCGTATGGAACTGTGAGCCTCTTGGTCATTTGGACATGTGGTTGGCTACAAAGGCAGACTAGAAGTGAGTAGGAAGCCTAGGAAACCATGGCGTTGAATTGCTAAAATAAAATCTTCTATCAAACATACCTAAGAGTATGACTTTTAAAAGGAATAAATGTTTTCTCATGCCCTGAAGATAAAAAAAAAAAAATCTAGACATTTATTATATATTATACTTTAACTAATTTTGGTAAGTTACTAAAGTTCTAGTTCAGGAATGTGTATCCTCATATTACACAAATGGATTGAATATCCTTAACGTTGCAAGCTGCCATATGTGGAACATATATTAAGAAGCCTCTATAAGGAAGAGGATGGTGAGCTGAAGTCCTTGCATCTTATTGGGTACAACCTGCTCAGGTCATTTTGGAAATGAAAATATTGAAGTAAAAAGAGTTGAAATGATTTGTCATTATGACACAACAGCGAGCATGAGAGCTCGGACCTTCTGGTGTTAAGGCCCATGTACTCCACTACACTATACTAGGAATAGTATATTGTTATGCTACACCATGCTATGCTAGTATAGTAATGTAGTATATACTATACTACATGATACTAGTGAAAAATTCTTATACAAAGTGACTGCTTTATATAATTCATACCATGCTCTATCCAATGGAACTTGCAAGCCTATGACAGTGACACAGAAGACAAACCATTGGTCAAATTTACAGTATGCTTTTGCTGGGTCCCTCTTGGGCATAGAGCAATGTAAAAACAGTCCACAACAATACAGGTTTCTACTCTCAAGGAGTCTATATGCTAACAGGGAGACAAAACAGGTTAGTGTATAATTAACAAATAAATGCAATAATTGTAAATTATTCAGAAGAGGTGAATATGGATTGAAAATAACTGAGTTGGCGGGGAAAGACTTCAGGGAAGGGGTGTGTTAAAAGAGGGGAAGGATAAGATAAAGTGAATATGAGAGAGGAGTAGATTCAGGAATTTATGGATCTTGTGGAAATGTTTTTTGTTAGTTTCGTTTTGTTTTGTTTTGTTGAGATGGGATCTCTCTCTGTAACCCAGGCTGTAGTGCAGTGACACAATCATGGTTCACTGAAACCTTGACCTCCCAAGGCTCAAGCAGTCCTCTCATCTCAGCCTTCTGAGTAGCCATGACTACAGGCATATGCCATTATGCTCATTTAATTATTTTTGATGTTATTTTTCATAGCGATGGGGTCTCCATATGTTGCCCAGGCTGGTCTAGAACTCCTGGGCTCAAGCAATCCTCTGGCTCTGCCCCCTCAAGGTGCTGGCATTGTAAGCATGAGCTGCTATACCCAGCCAAAAGTTTTATTACATATGAAACATAATGTAGAATTATCTAAGGCTCTTCATCTCACAAGAAGATAATGTTTACTTTCTAGCTGTGAATCAAGGTGATCTTGGGTCACTCCTCAATCAGCTTCAAAAGGAGAATATGGTTGATTTAATAACCCATTACTAATAGTTATAGAAATTACTGGCCAATGAACCAGTGAGTTCCATCAAAATTGTCAAACCAGAATGGTATATAATCATTGACCAATTAGGAATTATCATTAAAAATACAAAAATATAAAATTATCATTAAATAAGATGGGATACTCCTGGCAGTAGACAGTTAGCTAAGTTAAGTTTTTCTGTAAGTATAATATCAAAGAAATAGGTATCAGTCCCATGTTTATCAAATATGAATAAACAAAATTCTACTTAATATTAATTACGCAAATTTGAAGAAGTTGAATTTACCTTTGTTAATACCCTTGCTTATTTAACTAGATGCTGATCCTGTTGTTTTCATTACATCCGATTTGCTTGTGGCTGGTGAACCTGAACATTTTAATGCACTTTGCAAACAAAGTGAAACTCACTCAGCGGGGCAGTTTCCCAGAATTTTCTGGCCCTGTTAGAATCCTAGCCCTTTCAGAGAGGAAGGTGATGGGTGGGTCTACACTAAGGATGGGGAATCTGTGATCTAGGCCTAGTTTGCAGCTTAAGTAATAATTTTACTGTGTCAAGTTGCTCTGACTCTTAGTACAGGTGGAGTCTCTTTTCCAAACTGGAAGAGTTGAAGAGCTGTAAATAATGTTTAACCAGCATTAGCATAATCCGCATTAGCTCATAATGGCCACAGGCAACTGAAATGCGTTAGTTGTACTTACTAAAGTACATTCTATAAGTTTTTTACCCTAACTTTATAAGAATTAACTTGAGATTTCTTAGATCCCTAACAGAAAAACAAAGACACCAAAATTTATTTTTGTTGTGTTTATAATCTTCAAATACTTTTAAAATTCCATCATTGAATTTGGTCTGAAGAGAAAAATATTGTCGTATCTATGCCTGAATAATATAATAAAGTAAAATATTTAGTCAGCTATCCAGATATATGCTGTAAAAAAAAACAATGTAAGCTAATATTTGTAAACATCTTTACATTTGTTATTATCTAGAAAAACTATCAAGATGATACATACCTGGCCAAGTATATGTTGTTTTTCCATCTGAGTATTTGGACATCTTAAAGATCCAATTACAGGGTTGCCTGAGCAACTGACCAAGCAAACTTCCAGACACCAACCCAGGGACTGAAGATCTTGTTTCTTTTGGTGAACCAGAAATCCTCTATAGGAGTTTTGTATTAACACGTACTGAGAAACAGGACTTTCTTCTTTGGTTTATCTCGTGAGTTATACAGGCTGATTACCACAGCTCCATATGACAAAAGCAAGCTATTTCTTCACACATGTTTCATTCATTCTTCAGGCAGTGAATTTTAACTCACCATTTTAATTTTCATTACATGTCCTTCCTTTTTTCTGAAGTCAAAGGTTATTTGGTTGGATATAAATAGATACATAAAATCTGTATATGATACAGATATATGATTATGAAACTATACACTGAAGGCTTGGTTTTTGGTATAAAATATTTTTTAAAAAGCAGACAAAATAGTCTTATTTTGACATGGTATTTTTGGAGGATTTCTTTCTTAGGAATATTAATATCTAGGATTAATATCTGGTTTTTCAGCATATTTAGAAATCTGAGTTCTGATAAGTCTAAAAATTCTAAGCATCAAATTGTAAAAATGGAGCTTAATAAATACTGACATCAGTTTATGTTTACATGAAGGTGTATATAGAAAGTTAAAGGGTCTATTTGTATATCCTATGGCCATAGAAACATTTCTAATACTTTATATCTATACATATTTAAATTAATACCTAAATATATAACATAGCAAAATAAAACATGAAAGTTACAGCACAAAAATTGATACAGGGTTGCTCTTTATTTTGGAGGAGAATGCAAAATTATGATCTTGGCTACATAGTAATAAAGAGATTAAATTGCTTTTAAATTCTGAAAATGAAATTGTAATACAGACAAACTATCAAAATGGAGCAAGGACACTCACCCGCTGGTTTTCAGAGTGTTCAACGTTCAGTATGTATTTTCCATGTTTTCTGTCCATTCTAGAGCTGCCAATATCACAAGCTTCTCTCCAAAAATATTTTTCAATTTGTTCATTGCCCTTTATATCTGCAACCAGGAAACAATTAAAACACTGGTGGAAATCAACTATGATGCATCAGTACAAGTGTGGATTAAACTAAATACTAATTATTCACTAAAACAGAATCCACCTCAGAGGAGGAAATGAAATGTTAATTGCAGAAAGATGCAAGAAAACCAATACTTCTCTGAGAGCGATTGTGACTGCTCCCTCTGAAAACCTTACATTATTCTTCCATCTCTCCTCTTTGGCCCCATCATTCAGGAACTCACCTTTTATTTTAGGACTGACCCCAGAAAAACATTCTGAGATAGAAATTTACCATTGCTTGCTTCCTACTCAAGCACGAATGTCTCTCTCCCCTTGTTGGCACCATCTCTTAGGTACCCATGATGTCAGGGAAACTTCACCTTTTCAGTCCCTGGGTTGGTGTCTCTTTTGTCAGTTGCTCAAGCAATCCACACTCATTAAAAACTATTAGAATCAATGTCTTAGGCAATAATGTCAAAGGAGTGATGGAATATTGAAAATCTTTAAGAAGAGAGTTTTTTTATTTTGGTCAAAAAATCTAATTTGTCTTAAATTGCAAAATGATCAACTCTCGTATTGGTTTATTCACTCAACAAGTGAGAATATGGAGTGTCAAAAGTGTGCCAGGTATTTTTGTAGTGCAGAAAGTTCCATAATAAAAAACAAATTCCTATTCTCTTTGTATGTGACACTTTTGGATTCGGAATATTTTTAAAGTTTAATCTTTTAAAGTTTAATCTCTTATAAATGTATTCAATACCTTCAGGTTGTAAGCTTTACCTTTGAACTGTAGAATATAAAGAACATGGAAAGCTGTCTAGGAATTGAAAAACTGGGGAAAAATTGTTCCAAAGAAGAGTTTAAAATATGATGATTTGCTACCACATGGATGAAACTTGAGGACATTGTGCTAAGTGAAATAAGTCATCACAAAAAAGACAAATAGTGTAGATTTCACTTATATAACATACCTAGAATAGTTAAAATCATAGAGACAGAAAGTAGAATGTTGGCTGCCAGGGGCTAGGAGGAGGGAAAAATGGGGAGTTATTGTTTAATGAATATACAATTTCAGTTTGGGATGATAAAAAGAGATCTGGAAATAGGTGGCAGTGATGGTTACAGAATATTGTGAATGTATTTAATACCCCTAACTGTATACTTAAAATGAGTAAGATGATGAACTTTGTGTTGTGTGTATTTTACCACAATTTAAAAAGTGAAACAGAAACGTAAAGATTTACTCTTCTTGAAGGAAAGCAAACAGCCAGTGTATAGCCATGGGGTACAAGGGACGAACATGGGTTCAAGGTGTCAATAATATTAAAAATGACTTTTGAATGACTTTTTGATTCATTTGAAAATCAGAAGAATATTATTGTTAAACCAATAATATACATTTAATTGTATATTATTTAAAATATTACTACAATTTTATCCTGCAAAAACATTTCATTTGTCACTAGAGCCACATAGCCACGGTGGAAGTGAAACTCCATTACTATTGATGGCATCCATACATTACATCAGTGGCATAAAGAGTGGAAGATTATTCTTGTCACTGGAGTCTCACCCTCACAATCTCTAACTGGCCAAGCAGTTACATGACTCAGTCACAAAATTTTGGAGAAAATTTTAAAATTTAAAATTAAAAGAAACAGTAACATAAAAATAAGACAACACATTATTCTGTAGCTAAATATATCATGTGAAAGTCAGATTTTTCTTTATTTTACAAAGAATATTTCTTCACCTTGTATTATGAGGAAAAATTCTTTGAATTCCTCAATCTAAACCTTAACAGAAAAAGCAGAGCACACCTGAATTGTTAGAATGACAGAGAGCGTGGATACCTCTCATTACCCTGTTAGAGTTGCCAATAAAGGATCTTTGGTCTGAGCGGGATTTATAATGAAAAAAAGAAATCTGAAAGTCCTTTGGTGGCTGGCCATTTTTTTGCACTCTAAGGTGGCAAGGGGAGGAGGCCGTTTTTCGGTCATCCAATAAAGAAGTGAATTGGCTGTTGTCTCAAAGCCTAGGTCAAAGTTGATTTTTAAAAATCATCTTACTCAAAAATTTTCTTACCTGAAATTTTGGTAAGCTCTGATTATTATTTCTTTGGTCTACTGATAAACTGAGAGCCAGCATGACAGCTTCAGCCATGTCATGCTGGCTCTCAGTTTATCAGTAGACCAATGATTTTAGACATTTTAGGGAAAGGGGTTATTATATTTCATCTTTTTGTCAGACACAGAATTTCAAAGCCTAAGTAAAATGCTGGCATGCAACCAAAAAAGCATGAAAGAGCCTTGTGAAAAAGATAGAAACTGAACAATAAATTTCCAAACTGCCCTGTCAAAATTACCAAAGAAATTTGAACCAATCATTAAAAGTAAAAATAAAAACTGAAACATTCTGTAAATTCATATATATTTTTTCACAACACATTTAGCATGTTCTTTATTGTATTGTTTACAAAGCTGAGCCAATACTTAAACCAATTATTCCTTTACTGAATCAAAAGTAATGAAAAAGTATTTAAGCAATACAATTGGATTAGAATAATTAGTCCTATTCGAAATGGAAACTTCAGGAAGAAAACATGTTTTGATTTGTATCATTGAATTTTCTAATTCCAAATGTAAAGTTTACTTATAAATTTTAAATATGGTTGTATTGACAAAGCACAGTCTTCCATTAATTTATTCCCAACTGTTTATTGAGTGCCTAATGTATCACAGGCATATCTGAAACCTGGATATCAAATTAGCAGCAACCAAGACAGACAAGACCTCTGCTGACACTCTATTCTTTGTTAGTGAAAGCTTGACTTTTGATTTTAATTTTCAAATTTGTTTAAAGTGTTAATATTTTTGTTCAACCAAAGAAAATGTTCTCTTTCAGCTTTTTGTATGTTGGAATTAGAGGAAGGACCATAATGATAAATATATATCAACTTCTACAGAATAAAAGGCAACTGTATAATTCACCTGTGTTTGAGGACAGTGACTAGGAATTCATGACTTACCTAAAAGTTGGTATTCCATTTTTGGATGACCTTTGCTATTTGAAAGTTCTTTCTCTTATAGAGCCAAAATTTTCCTTGTTTCTCTGGCTGACTTACACCCTGGTCCTCCTATCTAGAGAGACCCAAAATAAAACTATTTTTTCTTCAGAATATGGATCTACAATCCCTGATAGACAATTCCAAAAATCCAAAAGGCTTTGCAAACTGAAAATTAATTTGAATGTTTGGCACAAATTTATTTGGCAGTAAAAATTAATATAAACAAACAAGGATATTTTGAGTCTTTAATAAATTTAGCATTAGCATGGTTATCTATATATTCAATTACAAAAATATTAATGTGTGTTGCAGGCTACCAACATGTATTGTATAATATGCAACATACATACCATATTTCATCGAATTTTAAAAATTTTGAATTATGAAACATATCTAACTCAAGCTTTTCACATGAGGGATGATGGGTTTGTAGAAATGTTATATATTTTTTTTTTATAACCAGGACCTCACTGTGTTGCCCAGGCTGGACTTGAATTCCTGGGCTCAAGTAACTCTCCCATCTCAGGATGCCAAGGAGCAGGAACTCCAGTTGTGCACCATCACACTCATTTGTGTAAAAGTTTACAATTTTTTAAAGACAGTTACATCCCTCCTTATTCTCATTGTGCTGAAAAACTATTTCATAAAAGACTTGCATTACTAAACTGACTCTCATGACTGGCATTTTAAAACTGTGAATGAGAAGAAGAAAATACAGCTTCATCAATTGTGAAAAAGTATACCACTCTGATGGGAAATGTTGACGATGGGGGAGGCTATGCATGCGGCAGGGACCATCAAAACATATTTTTCCTCTCTGTACCTTTTACTCAATTTTGATGTGAATCTAAAACTACCCTAAAAAATAAAGTCTATTTGAAAAAATAAGAAAAATAATAGCTTTAATTGATGGATCGCAGGAAATGGTGCTACCCTTAGGCAACCTCTGACATAGATTTGATTTTACCATAGTATTACTGACATTATAGAAATGTTTATGTCCCCTCCAATGGGCGTACCACACTGCCCAAAGCTAATCCTTGTAACACCTACAATTAAGTAGTACTATCCCCACTTTTCTAATGAGACATATATGCTTTCAGTGACCTTTTACAAACTCAAGATTAGAGTGTGTGGCTCTCAGGATATCCACTCGTTTCTTGTCTGTGGCCATTTATTAGTGTCTAGTGTATACCACACTGAGCCCTAAGAAGGATAGGGAGAAAAGGTGAAAGACAACTCAGAGCTTGAACTCATTGTCAAGATCATACAACTGTGGCACCTTTAGAGATTCTGATGACATGTATCAAGATTCATCAGGGAGGTATGGATATTTACTGGAAGCACAGCAAGGGTGGTGCTGCCACCTGGAATTAGACCGGCCCATGAAGACAGAGATGGCTGGAATTCAGGTTTTAAGTAACACAGAATTTAGCAACTCCCAGGGCGGAGACATGTCTCATCATCCTTGCTGACTCTCCAAGTTCTGTCCAAGCATGAAACAAACGTTAGGACGTTCACAGAGCATGAGGATTGCCAATCAGCTGCGTGGGCCTTATTTTTGAGAACATGAAGGCCCCAGCTTTTGCAGCTGAGGTTTACTCATCAGTGGGATTAGTTTACAGGGATGAACACAAAAAGATTAAGGTAGGGCTCCAGGCCTCATGAAAAAAATGCAGCAGGTAGACTGCTTATTAGAATCAGAGCTCAGAATGAAAATCTCGGAAAATGTCAGGTTTAAAAGATAGGGCAAATAGAGAAACTGGGATTCATAAGGTACAGAACCATAACTGGGTTATCAGATCTGGACCCGAAATTGGGGTCAACTCAACCTAGGATTAGAGTGGGGTGCAAAGGCTCAGCGGTGGGACATCATAGCCCTGTTCAGGGCTGCAGTAGCCAGGCTCAGCGTACAGTGAGCAGTGCAAACCCAGTAGTCTCATAGTTCAAAGTTAAGACTTGGCTCCTTTCATCAACCTCACTAT